TAAGAAAACCATTGACAGTACTTGAATTCTTGTTTATTTCTTCTTGAGTTAAAGATACTTTATCATCGAAAAATTTCAGCAAAGCAGTGTGAAGTATGTAATGGCCTCTTGGTGATACAGGTTTGGTTCCACTCAATGGTCTGAGAAGAAACAAGTTCCGTTAGAAGTAAGAATAACATCTGTCTCATCAAGTTGGATATATATTTTTATACCCTGGATCGAGCATTCACTTAGATAGTAGCTTATTATTAGTGAACAAAAGATGGTTCGTGGCAAACACTTGTATACAAGATTTGAATTCGAGCCCTAGTGTTTGGTAATAAGATATTTACCTAACTCCACTAAGAGGTGAGAAGGATTCGTAATTATTTATCGCCTGGATAGGGGGGGAAGGTGGGGCGGAAGATTTTGGTTGTGTCACAATAAAAGTTACCTGATTTCCCCCCCCCCCCCTTTCTGTAGTATTCTAATGATTTCCCTCCTCATTGGCAATCAACTTTTCTATAGTCTCGTTTGAGACTGATTTTTTGGGTCTTTTTCTTTATCTGTGTCCTCGAACTGGCCTACCTTGAGTTCCTTACAAGTCCCTCCGTTGCCACAGGTTGCGGAGTCCGCGATTGGGGAGCTTTTGACACAGTACGAACAAATTTTCCTCGGTCATTGTTATGATAATTTACAGTCTTCGCGCGGCCTGAAGGCATTCCACTTTGTATTAGCACAGGCTTACTGTGTGTAGCAGTCGATATTATAGGAGCCGGAGTAACTTTTTGACAAGACTTTTTAACAGCGGGGGTTGGCTTCTTGCGATCAACGTGGAATCCTGATCGTCTTTTAGCCTCCGCCGACGTCGCAGCATTGAGCTTGCCATAGGTCCCTGAAGACAGCGAAACTATTTGGTCAGATATTTTAACAGGCGAGATTAGCTTCACGCGCTCGACGCGGAATCCTGATTGTCTTTTAGGCTCCACCGACATTGCAGCCTGTGACCTTGTTCCACTGCCTTTTTTAGGGACTGGTTTACGAATATCCGGCCCGTTGAACTCACTGTATATTCCTTGAGGTTTCTCTTTTTTCATTGAACCAACGGTGGCAGTACGTCGAGCTCGAGAAGGACGCCGTTTAGCGGAATCTTTCGTCGATGCTCCTGAGGGGTGATTTAGTTTCAAGTGGTTTCTTTCGAATAGACTCAGGTTTTTTTCCAAATGGACTCCTTTAATCTTCACTGTCGCCGAACTATTTTCAGTAATCGTAGCCTTCATAATCTCCTTGCCAGATTCCTCGCTGAGTTTGCTCGCTCTTCGGAATCGTACTCTCCTAGGTGTGTGCAGTGGCCGAGCTTTCGAACTTACAACTCGGATCGTTTGTTTCCTCGTTTTTGGATTAAGTATCTTCGTGGTGGAGTACGAAGAAGACATTTCCTCGTAGAGATCTCAGCCTGCAATAACAACAATTCGGTCAGTGGACTATCTGGTTCCACGACTTAAAAGGTTTTTCCCTGACATAAATTTCCTAAAATACGCCGTTCTACGCGGTAACACAAATTTCCAGGGCTGTGATGCTTGTTAAAGAGAGTGGAAAACATCCTGCAACAAAAAAAGTCCCTTTGACAATGAATTATCAAACCAAAGCGCCCTAAACTAGTAATAACAGGAAACGGAACAACAGAAAACCGGAAGTAGAGAGAAATTTCTCAGAATTCGTTACCGAGGCTTCCGGTTAAAAAATTTGGTCTTCCAATGCGAGAAAATTCCCTAAACTTTTCACTTTCTTTGTATTTAACATGTGAGGAGACATGACGGAGCCAGGACCGTTCTCCCGTTCGGGGGCACTTTCCTTGAAGACCTGTACAGTTTCTTAGAACTCCGCTTGCCACTTTTCCTGTGAAGAGTATGCGAAGACGGACAAACCTGGTCATTTCAAAACAGAGATTCTCGATAACGGGCTAGAAAAAAACCCGCCAAAGAAATAAAACTTGAAGATTGCACTTTATGTGATGCACAACCAGGCTGAAATTTCGCACAAGGACAAAGGGTAAAATTCGCCCTGAAAACTCTGAGCTCATATTTAAACTGCCCCTCGCGTTGCATTCCCATATATACGTCGCGTAAGCGAGGAACTAATCGATGCTTTCCCCAATTTTCAATTTTAAGTCAAATTTCAAGACCGTCTCGTGTCTGAATAGCTTTACTCATCTCACTTTTAGTTCTGTGTTACTGCCGTTATGCTTATTCGGTGGAGGAGCCAGTTTCTTAGATCAATTTTTTTGATGTGACAATTTTGTCATGAACAAAGATGCATTTCAATAATTATGATCAGACGAGTACAAAGATATTGACGTTGTTTTTCTTGAATAAATACAGTGGCTGCATTCAACTGATCATAAATTTATCATTCTAGAATCCTTTCATGAGCTGTGAGCTACATTGAGTTTTCCTTAACCATTAGGTTTTTCCCCCAATTTCCGCCATTAGGGGATTTCAAATTTCCTATTTAGGATAAATAACACTGATCACATATTGAAATCACCAATCAAAAAATTACCTGGCGAGTAAAGAAGATTAACACAGTGTGCCTTGATGTTAAAATCCGCTTGATTCGACTGTAATATCTTCTCTTCAAAGTGACCATGATATATATATATATATGTATTTTTATATATATCCTTGCGAATGGAAAATGAAAGGAGTGGCAAGTGTTTCCAATGGCACGAACGGAAACTATGAATTGAATATTTTTCATGTAAGTGCCTCGAAAGGACAGTTTTTGCACTTTAATTGATCTTTACATGACATATCACACCGATAAACTTTTTTCCTGAACCACTTGAGAGCTCATGGGTCACTCCGTGAGGGGGGGGATTTTATTCGCTTTATGGATCGGTAAAGAGGATTTTATGTCAATGGAGTGCGAATTTAAACGGTTCCCATCCATTTTCCAGTAAATACTCACGCATACTTTTCAGCCCAAAATTTTTATCTTGTTGCTGTATCAAAGGTAAGAAACCCTCAATAAAATCATTGACAATCCTTGAATTCTGCTCTATCTCTCCTTGAGTTAATATAGGAAGCCGCGAAAGTCAGGGCTTTTTTTGTCAAGCATCGTCATAAACCCAACCAAGTCACAATAGGGTGAAATTCCGGTTTTTAAACCCACCGAAGTCATACTTGTTACTCTAAGCAGATATTGGTAGTCATTTCAAGAGGTTAAAGCAAGTCATCTTTCTATCATCCCGTGGAAGAATGTTAATACATAAAGGTACAGGCACCCACCTTCCCGAAAGAGCTACGTAGGACATTTCAAGTCGATAGCAACCAATGAAAAACAAAAATAAAATTTAAATTTAGAAGATCTAGAAGGATGGGTCACGGGAGAGGATGTTCTATTTATGGCATTTTCACACAGTGATAATCAACGACTCATTCAACTGGAACAGGGGTCTTTGGCGCGTAGAAAGAAAATAGTGTAAATAAAGCATCTTTTAGCGCAACGTTAAAGTAAAGTTGCGGGAAAAAATATATCGATTGATTCATACACTACTGAAATTACTTACATTGACTAATCTACTATCCTTAAAGTGAAATTTTTGGCAAATCTGTTACTACTTAACATGCATTGGGGCGGTTAATTTAATAGGAGCTCTCCGTTGAAAGCGGACCACACTTGGCGCCAAAATTGAATTCGAAAATAGTCTATCTCATCAAAATGATCATAACTCGAGCCATGACACCAACCAGATATATTCTGTTGAAAATCCTGTATTCTTCTCTCCCACTAAAAAAAATTATCCTTCCCTTAAAGTTGAACTTTAGAATCTTTTATTACCATAATAATTAAGATAATTAATTAATAAAATTACGTAATTAAGATTCCTTCATCATAGCATATATTTACACCGACCTCTGAGAAAGCATATCTATGTTTCCATTGGCCGATTGGGACATAAAAGAAGAAATTCGATTGGTGGATTTCGATCCGTTGGCTGGTATAAGAACTGAAACTTCCATTTTATGCAGACATATTCGAACACTATTTCACTTTTGCTTGGTTGTGCGACGTTTGGAACTGTTTATCATGTCTGGACGCGGTAAAGGTAAAGCTAAGGGAACCAAATCAAAAAGCCGCTCATCCCGAGCTGGACTTCAATTTCCCGTCGGAAGAATTCACCGTCTTTTAAGAAAGGGCAACTACGCTGAGCGAGTTGGCGCCGGAGCACCAGTGTACCTTGCTGCCGTTCTCGAATACTTGTCCGCCGAAATCTTAGAATTGGCGGGCAACGCTGCACGAGATAACAAGAAATCGAGAATAATCCCTCGTCATCTCCAACTCGCAGTACGTAACGACGAAGAACTAAATAAACTCCTGGCCGGAGTCACCATCGCCCAAGGTGGCGTTCTGCCGAACATCCAAGCCGTGCTCCTTCCTAAGAAGACCGATAAGAAAGCTGGAAAGACCTCCTCACAGAGCCAGGAGTATTAAATCTCCTCGACTTTAACTACAACGGCTCCTTTAGGAGCCACCAGCTCGAACGAAAGTCCTGTTCAGCGTGACTCTAAAATTATCCGTTACTTCGAGGCTTCTTTGGCGCCAAAACCATCTAGTTACTTTACGAATGAACTGAACTTTATTTTAGCATTTTTATTATTTAATAGTCGTAAATGGCTGTACAACGCAAGTGTATTTTATTTACCTTATACAAAATGTTTTGTTCACCATTATAAACCCCATATGCAACCTACTGTCATTAATTTGCGAATCTAATTATTCTTGCACCTTATTGTAAATACCTTAAATCGACAATAATTAGTACACAACACATTGTATGTATTATTTTAGCAATTAAAAGTGATTTAGAATTCTGTATTGTCAACTTTTAGATTGGGTATGAAATTCAGCCTGCATTGGGAGGGAGCATTAAGGTAGAATTTAGTAGTTGAGGTTAACTTTGATTGAGCCCTGGTCTAGGGATAGTTAACTTTCAATGATGCTGGGAGTATAAGCCCTTTTTTTAATTACAACTTCCATATGTACAATTAAATGGGTGTGAGCACAATTTTTTGCCTAAGTTCTGTCCCTACAACTTACATTCACTATTACATGGAAACAGTATTCCACAAGAGAAGATAATATTGATAACTAAAGAGACCTGTTGCAGAGATTGACTTGCTGCAACAATCAATTACAACCAGCTAAAACTGTCTAGCACCCACATGTTTCACTGCATACAAAAGAGCTTTCTGTTGCACAACATGATTAAGAGCCATTCTCTTTCCAAAACTAATTTTAATGAAAGTTTTCTAGGGCATACAACATAATGGGAAACATCTTGACTACAATTGCACATGAAAGGAACACTTAAATTACACTTGATTCCATCTCAACCTGTGGGTAAAAAATTACAAAGAAAGTCATGGTAATGATACAAACATCCATATACAGACAAAGGGTCAGGTATTCCTATGTCAGATAATTCCAAATCAGTGAACAGTTGAGAAAAACAAGATTATTGACTTCTAATTACTAACAACCTTCAATATACTGGGAATTTTTGGTTGTTTCTCATGTCCTAGCAGCCACTCTGGAGATTAAGCAAAACATAAAACTACAATCTGATTACCCCTCTCGTTTACCGTCAAGTTATTTCCTGTCTGACTTGTATAGTCTGACAATATCCAAGTGCCGATGAAACAACTAGTTGAAATACTCAATGATAACCAAAGCACCCTCTTTTTATACCTCTCCCTCAACAGACTCAGCATCTGGACTTTCATATTCATCAGTCTCATCCTCAATTTCTTCTGCTGAATCATCATCATCCTCAATCTCATCATCATCTTCATCAAGTCTCTTTAAAATGATATCAAGAGTAACCAAAGATTCAAAATAAGTGAATGCAGAGTAGACTTTTAAAGTACCAATTCCATTTCATCATGGGAAAAAAATTATTTCAACCAATATCAGTATCTTTCTGTTCAAGACAAGTGAGCTTTAGGTTGAAAAATATTTAGCTCTTTGGCCCTATCACTCCTGAGAACCAAACAGTTATTCTCCTCACTGCCCATCCTTAAACTCCCAAGATCTAATTGTCAATTCTCCCCTCCAGCTGCAACACATTTCCTTGTAAATTAGTTATGAGAATTTGGTGTAAGATTAATACAACAAATTCCACCTGATAAGTTTGAACATTCTTATAACATGTTTGCTGAAAAACACCTTGCTGTTAATCACTTTTGGGAGTTAAAGGGTTAAATCAAACAATATCTCCTAATTGGTATTACTCTCTCTTCACCTAACCTTTCTGCCACACAATCTAAAGACAATGTAAGGAGAAATAACTTATTAGTCACTACTGGCAGTGAAAGGGTTAGCATCTGAAATATGGTGGGGCTTTTTACTTAACCCTTTAACTCCCAGAAGTGATTAATATAAAACTTCTCCCTAAAATATCCATACATTATTCAGCAAAGAGGTAATGAGAATATTCAAACTTATCAGGCAGAAGCTGCCATCTTGATCTAGCACCAAGTTCTCACAACTAATTTACAAGGAAATGTGTAGAAGCTAGAGGGGAGAATTAACAATCTGATCTTGGGAGTTAAAGGGTTAATGCCACCAAACCCATAACTTTGTGGAATACATGTGTACCATGTCCCACATTAGAGAAATTTTCAGAACATTGGACAGTCTCCTGTCATCTAGAGCCCAAGACATTACGAACTGTTGGAATCTTAGACCTTGTCCCTGACTTAACACTGTAAATTCATCCCAGATATCTTGTTTCCTAACAAATCAGACATATTTTGGGATCTCATCAGACAGGATTCCAGTTTTAGAGGTAAGTGGTACATACATAATGAATAAACAACAACCTTACCTCCTGTCTGTCTTTGGTTTTAGTGGTACCAATTGGAGGAATATCAAAGCCCTTATCTGCAATCCTTTTTAGCTGCCAAGGAAACATCATCTGTTATAATATGACTGAGATACTGCAAGCATACTGATTGGTAAAAATATATTATTTATTGCAACGTTCGGCAAACCTAGAATTATTTTATAAAAGCAATAGTCCAAACTTTCTAGAAAGTGCAAGCTACAGTGTACATGAAACTACCAATTACAGAAAGCCGAATATCATGATATGCTTCTGAGTAAGTTTATAGTTACATCAAAATTTAGCTGTAAGTTTCCCTTAGCACTTTGTATTTACAGATCTTAATTGCTAGAACTTTGATCATACCATTAATTTATTCAAAATTTCCCTTTCTACTTAAATTTTTGCAGATAAAGGAAAACTTGCCAAATGAAAGTCGTTTTAATTAATTTTACGTTAATTTATAATTCCGTTGATGTAGGGAAAAAAAATTCGAAACAATTCGTTTTGTTTTGGTGCAAGCTGAGCAAAAATCTTCGGCAACTCACTGAAGCAGCGTATTCTTCCTCTTCTTTAGCTAATACAGCGTCATCATCTGATTTCTTTTCCAGCGTGAACCAAAGATTGTCCGCAACTCGGGGAAGAAGAGATGGAAATGTAGCCGATGAGGTCGCCATCTTGGATGTTTTGAAATTCCCACGAATTTACCGCTGACACCGTCAAGCACTCTCTCTCAGTTACGTCAAGGGGTTCGAGAAGGGGAGGGATTTTCCTGAGTGTCTTCTCGATCATAGACTTTGGACAGAATTTGAACTTGGGGGTACCCGGTCTTCATCGCGGTGGTACCAACAGTTTGATAAAATCGAAATATTTAATATTCTGTGTGATATGTTTACACCCAAAAACATTTCTTCTGAGAGAAGTGCTGTCTAAATTGAAAGTTAAGTGAAAAATCATCAGACAGTCTGAGAATGAGGTTAGAGCCAAGCATATGAGCTTGGGTTTGGATGCATAGCACTCTGCCACTAAACCTAAAGACTCAAGGTAACTACCTGGAAACTTATCTGAGGATGTGACCCATTATTGCAATGAGTACAGGAGGCTGGTTGGGATTGAGGAAGCATGCATTCAGTCTTTGCCTCTATGTGCTGCTTTATCCCTTGTTCATGTTACAACAATTGAAATATTTTGTCTCAGAAAGGAGTCCGATGGAATATCTTATCCCTAATTTTTCCATCAGGAACTGACTAAGACAAAAAATTTAATCTGGTATACTTTGGGGAAATAATGTTTGCAGATCTTTATGCTGTGAGGTAAGGACAACGTGATAAATCTAATGGTAGATATTTGGGCAAAATCTTAAACATAGCCATATTATTCAACATTCAAAAAGCTGCTCTTTAATCAAAACCTATTTGGCAAATAGGGAGAGTTAAGCTACAGGACCTGTAAAAATGTTCTTGGCGTTATCATATTCAAGGCAGTCTTTTAATGATTATTCATTATATGTAATGTAATAATGTTATCATATGAAAGCTAATTCATCACTCTAATCGACTTAACAAATTATTTCACTGTTTTAGATAACATTCAGCCCCTGATGAAATTTCAACAAGCTTTAAAACCTCAACTATCTTCTTAGTTGCAGTTCCATAACCGTTAAAGTATATTGCATTATACTAACTTAAAAATGTTATACAAACATCATATTTTTCTACAATATGTCAGCACTTGAATTTCAAAACACCATTCTAGGAGGAAATTACAATATCATCATGTAAACTTGACATGCAAAAAAATTTATTACTTTACATTAAGTAAATGTTTCTTACCCTTTCATTCACATGTTGCATACTGCACATTTTAAATAAGCCTTTCTGTATCTATGTAAAGAATATTTATATGGTAAAAAAACATAACTGTTGCTTTTGTGATAATTATTCTTTTTCATGGTTACAATGGCAACAGTTAAAAATAGTCAATACCTCTGACAAGTAAATATTTCATTGTTGTACAACCTAAGTGAGGAATCAGTATTTCTCTCTGATGACTTAAAACTGGCTTGAGTTCCAAGCACTTTTTGGTAGAAAATAAATTTTGGGGTAATAGTCTCATGAAGTGAAAGCAGAAGTCTCAACATTCTGGACTACTTCTGTGAATGCAACACCCAAAATTCCCTTAGGAGTAACTGCATTCAAGCTCTTATCTACCTATTTCGTACCACCCATAAGTGATTAACATGTACCTTCTCCCTATAATATTCATACAATATCCAGGAAACAAGTGATCAGAATACTCAAAGAATACTCAACAAAGATGATATCTTGATCTGACAACAAATTCCTGTCACTAATTTACAAGGAAATGTATATCAGTTAGAGGGAAGAATTAACAATCAGATCTTAGGAATTGAAAGGGTTAATGTGAACTTCCCTCAAAAAATTACAAATCAACTATAAAACTCAAAGGTAAACATGTACTTTAGAGCCCTGATAAAATCCAGTACTACATTCAAGGGATTATTTTGGATTAAAAGTGCCCTGATATTTGAATCCATTGACAGAGCTACTTGTGGAGACCCACAGATCTTAGATGAAGACCCAAAATGTAACATACTTTGTCTGAAAAATTTCAGACAAGCATCTCCCCTTATCTGAAGGCCTGGATCTGCTAATGGAATATGTTCACTGATTTTTGTATAAAAAAAACTTAGAATTAAATATTAAGCATGAAAATGTTTTTTTTTTTAAATACCAAGGGTTAATAAAATCCAGTGTAAAAAGGTTGGTGCAGAAGTGTGCTCTGTTGTGTCAAAAGCACACTAAACCTGATTTTTTTTCTGTTTAGAGATATAGCTACTAAAAAGCTAAAGCTAAGCACAAAGCCCACAGTCATAGAAGTTAGATTTTTGTTTCCATCGACTCATTTGAACCTTTTGAATTTTCTAGTTTTCCTTCCCTGGATTTTGATGAACCAGCACCAGACGCACTTCCACCAAGCTGTTTTATACCAGAGAAAAATCCACGTCTTTCCCCATGACTTTTATGCTTGCCGATCACTTTTCCATGTTTTCCATGACCACTGGAAGTGAATGCACTTTTTCCTTTTTGCTTCATTTTGTGAAGCAAGTTAAACTGCTTTTGTTTGCCCGATGGAGGGGGCATAGTTGCAACAGTAACCACATCATCTTCAACCAGAGATGTTCTTACAGGTTTCTCTGTGTAAGGGGGAGGGTTTACTACATCCAATTCTGATGTGTATGGAGGGCAGGCCCTATTCCAAGGCTCCTTGATTGACTGAACAGTGTGCACGTCACGGAAACTAGCAGAGTAACGTCTTTCTTCGAGAATTTCTCCATTTGGTCCAAGTGTATGAGTTGAACCTGGAGTCAGAAGTTCCTTTCTTGAGGCAGGAGGGGATTCAGAACTATTTGAGGATGAAACACTGTCTGATCTTTGCGGCTTTTCTGCAAGGCTGCTGTTTGAGACTGTACTGCTACTTTCTGATTGTGCTGACGAAAGCTTTCTCTTTAATGTGCTGGTAAAATTACCATCATTCAATCTCATCACGCTGAATGCCTCCAGTACTTTGGTAACTCTTGTATGGCCTGGAAAAACAGAGAACCAAAACTTTTCAATTAAAGAAAAGAAAACTTCTATATTCATATACAACCTTCCAAGATTGTAAAATGGGGAAAATAATTATGTTAATAACTAGCACTTTGTCTTCAAAGTCAATTTTTCTTCAAATTAAAATTTCCCAAAGTGAGATTTATCCTTAAAACCCCCAGATCTGATTGTTAATTCTCCCTTCTAGCAGCTAATCATTTCCTTGTAAATTAGTTATGAGAATTTGGAATTAGATCAAGATAACAACTAGTACCCAATAACTTTGTGTTTGCCGGGTAATGCATGGGTATCAAAGGGAGAAGCTACATGTTGATCACTTCTGAGAGTTAGAGGATTAAGGTGTAAACGCTGCCCTGAGTTTTTCCTGACATGTTATTTTCATCAAAATGTCAGTTCTTAGATTTTAAGAAAAAGGACTCACATCTATGGGAAAGTGACATCAATTTGAGTTTCTTGATTCATTCAACTTTCCAAACTGCTATCTAATCTGGTGCTTACCAGCTTCATGAGCAACTTGCATTGGACTCCTTCCCAGCTTGTCGGCATGATTCATGTTTGCATTATGCTCTAATAACATTTGCACTACTTCATCATGACCTTCTTGCGATGCAATACAAAGGGCTGTGGCTCCTTCCTGGGATGTTTTGTCAACTTTTGCTCCCTTTTGAATTAATAACTGCACAATAGAAACATGGCCCTTCCATGATGCTGACATCAAAGCTGTGCGTCCTTCACAATCTGCATGATTAATTGCTGCACCTCTGTTAATAAAGAGCTCCACAAGCTCATAAGCTCCCTTCCATGCTACTGCTTGAAGTGGTGTCCGTCCTTCCATGTCCTTGCTGTCTACAAAAGCTCCGAGATCCAACAATAATTCAACCATCTGTTTGTTTTTCTCGATGGAAACAGCAAACAGAGGTGTGCGTCCAAGACTGTCCTGATGATTGACATCTCCACCAAGATTAACAAGATGCTGTACACATTCCTCATGCCCCTCCATAGCAGCAAAATGCAATGCTGTGCGACCATCAGAAGATGCTTGTTCAATGGGTGCACCATACTCAATAAGTGCTGACACAACATCAACTTGGCCTTCCTGTGCAGCTAACATCAGTGCAGACCTACCATCAGGATCAAGTGCATTGACATCCAGGTTTGCAGCAAGGAGAGAACAAACAACATCTTTGTGTCCTGTTAGAAAAGTGTGCATCAAGGTGAACAAATTCATGTGATAACTATACCATTCACCCATGCATTGCAAACAGGTTTTATATTAAATGGCAGCAATATCATTTTTTAATTAAGTATCACTAAACTGCATTAGTGCAATGTAAAGTGCTGTATTGTAAAAAATCTCCAAAAAAGAAAAAATATGAGGCCATCAGAAAAAATAATAATAATCTGGCAGACATTACAAAGTTCCCTTAGACTGGTTCACCCTTTACACCCTAACATCAGTATGCAAACTCTCCATGCTACGCTCTATATCAGGGCTAAAAATTAACTCCAGTACTTGGTGGCCAATTGGGCCAGTTTCCTTGATTTCTTAGTGGCTCATCCCAAAATGAAGTTGCCCTCGATTCCCTCTAGTTTAAAATGAAAAACTTGAATAAACACCCATGGCTTTTAACAAAGTGTTGACTAAAAGGAAAGAACACAAAAGTCCAGAGTCACATGGCAATCACAAAATCAAAATGGCATCTATATGTTGTGAATGTGGATCACTTGTGAAATCACCGTTAAAACGGCTCAGAATTTCCACTTTGGACTAAAAATTCACCAAAATGGATGATTTTAGTGTCCAGGCAAAGAAATGAAGAGAAAGGTAGTCCAATTAAACTACATATTGAGTTTTATTTTTAACTTTGTACTTTGCATAATTTACATTACAACTTTTTGAAATTCTGTAGCACAGTCACACACTGAGCATTCAAACCTTAACTTTTGGTGGCCCTGGTCAGTTTTAACTCCCCACTGGCGAAAGTGCAACCACCAATTTTTAGCCCTGCTAAATATTTCCTAAGGTGCTGACAAGAAGAATTTGTTTAACAATCAAGAGCTTATATGGTTGGTGGTCATTTTCTTATTTCTCATAACCTTAATGTGTAATTTAGGGATGATATTGTTAGGAGAATTTAAATGCTAATCACCCCTAAGGGTCAGAGGGTTAATAAAGGAAACACTACCTTGATTGGCAGCTACCATCAATGGATCCCAACCACTATGATCTGGACGGAACATTGAAAATGTTGGTGACCTCCAGGTTGAAGGGTCAGGTTTCCTATCTGAAATAACAATCAAATTGATAAATGTTTCTTTTTCCTTAACAGCTTAAGTAATCTAAATCATAATCATAGATCCAATGGCCATATAAAACATTAAGCGTTTTTTATTTTATCTGAATTTCCCAGGACCTTTTAGATGATTTCCATTACCTATAATCAAGCGATGTGTTCCAAAACAAGAGGAAAAAATCAATTAACAAAGGCATTTATTCTTTGTTCTTCACAAAAATATATAATTTTCATTTATTTCCATGACTTTCCATAATCCAAACTCAGATTCCAAGAATATTAAGGTTTTCAAAGACCCATAGTAACAGAGATAAGGGTAAATATCTACAGATACTACCTGTTACAAGATTCTACTGTAAATGAAAAGAGAACCAACCTTCTGAAGTTGCCAAAAACAAATCTACAATGTTGCAATGACCATTAGCAGCTGCTGCAAACAGAGGTGTCCGTCCATTTCTGTCCCAGTGTCCTATGTCTGCTCCAGCTTTGACTAATAACTTGGCAACATTGAAGTATCCCTCAAGAGCAGCAACACATAGTGGCGTTAAGCCATCAAAATCAGGATGATCAACTCGTGCACCACGCCTTAAAAGAAGGTCAACAACAGCCTCATGATTCTCACTAGACGAAACACAAAGAACCGTTACAGCTAAAGCAGTTCTTCCATCATTGTCGGCATGATTTATCTCTCCTTTATGATCCAGCAGTATTTCTACAACTTTCTTGTGACCCATGTAAGCTGCGGCAATTAATGCTGTCCTTCCTTCTTTGTCAGTAAGATTAGGGTTTGCCCCATGCTGAAGTAGTTGTAATACAACATCGCTGTGACCACCCCATGATGCACCGCGTAATGCAGTGCGTTTATCATCGTCAGCCAAGTCTACTTCTGCAGAGTGATCCAGAAGAACAGAAACAACATCAGTGTGCCCACCCGAGGCTGCAGCCCTCAAAGCAGTGCATCCATCATCTGCACAGTGATTAACTGATGCACCACAGTTCACAAGAAGGTACACAATTTCATTATGCCCTTGTCTTGATGCTAACATTAGCGGAGACTGTCCAGAAGTGTCTGAAAAGTTGACATTTGCTCCATGTTTAATAAGAAGCCGTACTACATCAACGCTGCCATTGAATGCAGCATTGCATAGCAATGTTCTACCAGAACTGTCAACACGATCAACAGATGTTCCTTTCTCCAACAGAGCTTTAACAGAATCTTCTGTCTCTGGTGCAAAGGGAAGCAAAGCAGCTTGTTCTTCAAGTTCATTTACCTTGGCACCAGCATTTAGTAACAGCCGGGCAACCTCTTGATTCAGGGCATCTGTGTTGAGTTGGATGTCTGAGATTTGGGTTCCACTCCACAGAAGCCAGAGAGCGAGGTGGTCTTGTGTGAAAAACTCCCTAAAAGATGCACGGCTCAAGTGGAATGCAAGTTGGTGTGGATGAGTCAGCTGTTGTTTCTGAGAGAGTTGAGTGTAATGCAATGCTAGCATGGCATGCCCATCTCCTGGGTTGCAAAGAAACTTTGGCGTGCAGTGCTTTGCATCCAAGAGCCACTCAGCAAAGGACAGATGGGATATGCTTTTAACACCATTGTCATCCATGAGAATGTGATGTGACATCAAGTCAAGTGTTTCCAAAAAGTCTTCCACAGTTAGATCTGTGTCTTTTGTCCACACTGCATGGAACATTTCAGAGTCAGTTAAAGGCCTTTGAGCAGCTAAAATAACATTCAAGACCGACCTGATCTTGTCGACTTGTTCCTCTGTGAATAACCTATTACACAGCCACAGGTACAGACCAGACAGTGTGCCTGGAATGTCCTGGGTCTCATCCAAGGTGAAAAATTCATCGACCACTCCATCCAACAATTTTTCCAAATAAAGAAGACAACCATTGCTTTTGATGTGAAGCTGGTTAAATGCTTCTGCCGTTTCCCTGGTTAAATGTTTCCTTAAACTGGGCTCGTCGTCTAAGCGATTCAAAATGTACTGTTGAATGTCCTTAACCACATGTGCTTTCCGAAGATCGTCTAAAGTGAACTTTCGAAATCCTGTAAACATCCTAGTGACTGTTTTCGATTGCTTTCTTGCACTGACCACCAGAAAGAGCCAAGGGGGGAGTAGATCGTGGTGTGTGGCCATTAACTCAGCAACAGTTCGGCTGCCAGATGCAACACCGGAATCGAAAGAATGTAGGTAAGATTCATCGATGGCGTCCACCACGACCAAGAAGATTTCCTGAGGCGGTGGAAGCGAATTAAGAGGCAGTAGTATACCTTCTTTAAAAGAACGATCTGGATTTCGAATACACTGTTCACTTTTGAGGTGATTTTGAATCTGGGGGTCGTTGAATTTGGCAGCGTATGCCTTCAGCTCCTCTGCTTTAGCGAGTTGCCTGGCGAGATTTAAGATGAAGTCTGCTACAGAAACAGAAATTGCATTTTGGGCTTGGCAGAAATGAGAAGCAACAACTTTCTTTACCAACTCCGTTTGAACACCTTCTTTAGTTGTCGGAGACACAAGTTCGCGTAAAATTGTCGTTTTTCCCGAGCCAGGTCCTCCTAAAATAAAAGCCCCTTTCGTTTTAGTATCTTCTTGTTGCTTCCTTCGTTCAACACAAGTTTGAATTTTTTCAAACACCCATTCTCGACAGTAGAACGTTCTACAATCGCGGCCATTCCGCGCCATGATTCGCTTCTCGTTCTCGTCCCTCAAAACAACACTACTTGTCAAAGAATGTTAAACATGTTTCAAAAGTAGAGTAAAGCCAGAAGACATTGTCAACGTCCAAAATTCCATTTAGTTCCACGGTTTTTTTTTGCTCGAACCGGGTCCCCTGGGAACTGATATCGATTTATATTGTATGAAAATTTGACGTGTTCTTGATAAGTTGTCATTTACTGTTCTGCCCCAGTGCGCCAGATATTGGCCCCAGGCATGTTCTCCACGGATAATCGCTGTTTGCCTTCGCTAAGTCAGTTCAAAATGAACAAACTTGCTTCTTTGCTAGCTAATTAACGCTGTCGTGGCAAATATTTTTAGCTCGAGAATACCACGAGGGGTGCCATAAGACAAGTTTTACATGCTCTTGTTCTTCTTGGGGGTTTGTTAACAATCATGGGATAATAGGAATCGGACACCGTGGAAGCGTCATGATTGAAAAGTTAATTTTAAAACTAGAAATGCGATTGGTTAATTAGTTGCGACCTTGCTTATACAAAAGACCACAAAGCTCTTGCAAGCGATGTACACAAATAGGTTTAAGGGTGTTGATTTGTAAATATTGTCCTAAACTATTCACTCTGAAACCTGGGCTTTTATTCAAAACACGAGGGTGTCCTAAATCTGTTTTGTTTTCTTGAAAGGAAAACAAATCCCTGATGAATTTTCCCGCGTCTAAGAACATCGAATCGTTGAAGCTTCGAGAAGTGTACATAAAAGATAATTATGAGGGTGATTTTAAAGAGCTCTTCAGATGCTTTGATCTGAGTACTTATTTTATCAGCAAAGACTTCATTGAGCCCGATTTTCTGGCGCCACATTTGATAGTCGGAAATGAAGTGGATATCACAGAAAATGGGGAAAAGCATTCAATCAGAATAGTTCTAATCCGATATTTGCAATTTTAAATGACCATATGAAGAGGAAGATATTGTTCTTAAACAAGTTCAGTTTATCTTTAGATTCTCTGTACATATGAAGTTCAATGGATATATTTTTACAAATAAAGAGTTTATTTTAAGATTGGTGCAAAATTTTCGCAATAAATCAGAGTTATTTTTCGGAATTGCATGCTTATCTTTTTTTCTGAGAAATACGATACTTTTGGGAGAGGTAACTTAAGATTAATTAGGCTTCGCTGATATTGACCTATTTGCGAGATGTCGGAAGATCTTTAATTCGAGACATTAGCTACATCCCGACGGGAAAAAACGATAAAACTGTGTAAGCGCCGTCTGTTGAGAAAGACACAGTGGGTATTTCGTTAAAAACACTGATGACCGTAATGATTTTAAAGGTCTTTTAAAGGCAATGAGAGCAGATAACCAAAATCAGCTGATGTTCTCTAGAAGAAAGCATATGCATACAGAAACAAAAAACAATTAATTAATGTCAATCGCCCCAATGTCCCCAATCCCGACTAGGGTACACTGGGGGACAAGCTGGTGACTTTGTGTTGCACTCCCAGACCTCTTGACCGCGTTACATCCGGGTATGTAGTTAGAACTAAAATTAAAACGACGAAGGTTCATCAACAAATGCTATTTTTAAACTTGTTTTTTGCGCCATCATGGACCAAATACTGAGAGGAATCGTAAGTTCAGATCACACTGAAAGCGTCAAGAAGTCTCTTATTCAACAGCTGGTCTCAAAACTCAATGGAAATGTCCCAGAGGATCAAAACAGATCTATCTTTGAAATTGGAACTGAATGGATGACAGATGAAAACTCGCAATTTTTGAAAGAAACTGGTCGACTATTGCTCACCACGTGGGCTAAACGCCAAAAGGATGTATTTCAAAAGTTTTTCACAGAAAGCTTTCTCCTATCTTTTCTTGCTGAACGCGAAAATTTATCAGTGAGTTTTGTGGATTATCTACGCACCTCCCTTGATCTCGTTCAACACGCACCACAGATATTTTCAATGTACACAGTAATTCGCCACAGGGCTCATATCTGGGCGGAAAAGAATTTAAACACGGACTTTTGTGCGGCTGTGGGACGTTTGCTCATCGAGTATAACCACTGTTGGCCGGTTGGCGAAAATCTAATCCAGTTTAACTTGTCACTGCTTAGAGCTTTAAGCAAAACTGAGCTGCCTAAAACTTCAAAAGAAGAAATGACAGCATGCATTCAAAATGGTGCAGTCATTGGGGCTCTCTTAAACAAGATGTGGACAAAGAATCAAGCCCTGCTCTTTCCAGTTTTAACGGAGATTTTTAAGATTATTTCCAAAGTAGGAGACAGTCCATCAGTAGCACTTGCTTCTGTTGTGCAGTATTTTTCCACTGATACAATAGACTCTGCAACTAACCTTGCAGCTTCAAACCCTTTACTTAGTGATGAGAGCCTAGCTCATTCCCTTACGCGAATGATCAAATGGTTGTCATGGCCTGGAGCAAAAAAGGTTGATCAATGGATTATTGGGTTTTTAAAGGCTTTGGCAAGCAATGGGAAACATTCCATTCTCATTTCTGTTACACTTAAGGAAGTGTCCCAGGTAAGATGCCTGTCCTGAGCAAGATTTCACTGCTTTTTTTTAAACCTATAATTTGTGAGAGGGGTGGAAGCCAGCTTTATACCCAGAATTTTATCAATACAATCACTTTGGGTTTCCTCACCGTTCAACCCTGTTAAGCCTTAACCCTTAAGCTCCCAGAAGTGATTAACATGTAAATTTTCCCTATAATACTGTATAATATCTAATTTACAAGAAAATGTGTAGCAACTAGAAGGGAGAATTAATAATCAGATCTTGGGAGGTAAAGGACAGAGGGACAGTGGTGGTCATATTAACAGGGTTCTAATTTAATGTCAAAGACAGTAGTCTATGAGTTGTCATTCTATTTCATCCATGGTTTTTAGTTGAGCTCAATTCTGTTTCAATCTCAGTTTCATATTTGTTTTCAGTAACATTGCAGTTTTGTTTTTTCTTCCTCTGCCTCACTCTTTATCCCAAAAGTTGCTTTGGCTAATCTAAGTATATCAACTGAAAATTTTGAGCATTTTATGACACACATAGTCAACAAAAAGTGGGTTCTGTTGGGCACCAAAATCTGCTTGCATAATTCACCACGTTTATTTATTTTGAGAGCTGACCAGCTTTCCATGGACTCGTTTTTTGGGACTCTGTAACATGACTCTTGTTAATAGTGATATTCTTTTATTTTGTTTTTCTGCAGGTTTTCAGTCGTTTGTTGTTCCCCATTGTCCGTGGAAGTACTATGGTTGTCCTCTCTCATATGTTGCTGAGCTTTCAACACTCTCCTCAAGCATTTCATGAGGTAAAGATTTCTGTTTCTGGGTTGGTATAACAGGAAAAAGCAAAGACAAAGCTTTGAGTCAAATTTCCTCATATGACATTAGTTTAGTCACTAGATTTTATGCTCTTCAGTTAGATTATTCTCTTATTAAGTAATTCCATGGGAGACAAATTTGCTTAATGATTACATTGCTGGGTTACTAATTGAGAGGTCTGGGTTTGAGTTGTGGCCAGAGTCAGCATTTTGTCGCTGGGAAAGACACTTAGCTCTCACATTGATTCTCTCTACCCAGGCCAGTACGGAAACTGTCAGGGAAACTGTGACTAAATGCCATAGTAGCCTGTGGTGGACCAGTGTCCAAAAAAAGACCAGTAATCCTCATATAAAGAAGCTTTTGGAGATAATTGAGTTAGCCTTATATGTACACTTATGTGCCTGTCTGCATTCCCTTTTTTCAAGTTGAACAAGTGACTATTCTACTGAGTGTTTTAGTGTCAGGATGTATACCAAATGATCAACGTTTCTCTTAACATATCATAGTGTTTCTAGCTTAGGGGAATAACTTGTCATTGTCTGGACCCGTCTGCTGGAATATGTGGCTTTTTTTCATTTTATAACAAAGAATCCAAGAACGAAGTGTCTATTCTCTACAAAGTTAATCTGAAAAAGTCAAACAATTGCTTGTTTTTTGTTTTGTTTTGTGGTTTTTTTTTTCAGATTGTTGTTTTAGTACCCAGCCTTGTGCAGACTCTAAAGAAGGAAAACAGTGGTTCCTCACAAACTAATTTACAAACACTTGCTGAACTTATGCACTGTCTAATGTACCAACATACAGGGTTTCCTGAACTGTATGGACCAGTTGTTGACTGTCTACAGGTATTGTTTTGGAAATCTAACAAGCTGGTGGGAGATGTACTAATATTAGCTAAGGACACTACAAGTTTATAAAAGGAATTGATAAACACTCTTTTAGAAAGACAGAAAGAAAATAACAACTTCAGCACGCCATCTTAGTTTCTTTATTTATTAAAACAATTTACTGATTTCCTTTTTAGAAAAACACTAAATAATATTGTATGTATATATAGAGAGATGTATAACCTATAGTTATTTTTTATTTCATTTTGCAGTATGTAACATTTCTAATGTAGATCATTGTTCATTTTTATATTTTAAGTTCTATCTTAGAGAGGGCCACAAGTTCATCAGTTCACATGCTCCCCTCTTAAGATAAAGTCTATTGATTGATTAGTTTTAGTTTGCTGGATTCCATGTGGAGATGTACAGTTTGGAGCCCTTACAAGGGTCACAGCACCCTGCCTTCTCCAGAAGTAGCTGTTTGGAATACTTGCTAAAATGTAGAGTGGGGGAGGTGTAACCAACAATGAACTGATAAAATTCATGGGGGGAGGAATAACCAACAACAGATTAGTATCCTATCTGAGTAGCAAGAAACCAAGTGCTCCATTTCACAGAAACCAGATTAAACTTTGCAGCTACTTGTATGGAAATCAGTGTAATTTGTGGTCAGAGTAACTAATAATGTTCCAATAAGCTGTACCCTTTTGTACTTTTGATTGTTACTTCTTTCTGAATTTATCGCTCTTGCATTCTCATCCTTTTTTTTATGTATACTATCTATGCATGACCTTCTTTTTACCAGGATTTACCTAAACCTTCAGAGGTGATGATCAAGAAGTGGCTAGCTCAAAGTGCTTGGTCTGCACAAGCTGTCAATATTCCACTTCCTGGCTTTGCACCAAAATCAGAAACGGGAAAAACTGGCTTAGCTAACCTAGGCAACACTTGTTACATGAACAGTGTGTTACAGGCACTCTACATGCTTGACGAGTAAGTTGTCAATGTCATGATCACTTGTACGTTTGTATGTATGTACAGTTAACTGACCAATCCCCCAACAGGTCTTAACAAGGACATTACAAGTACATTAAAACATTGTAAATAAATTTAGTGTTTAAAAACCCCAACTGGCGGGATACAGACCAGCTGGCTGTATACAAAGCTTAGCCAAGAAACTGCACTCGGGACAACTGAGAAAAAATCCAGTGAGTAGGAGGGCAGAGGGCTTGAACCTCAGGTGTTGCTATGCCAATAATGACAATTGTCAGAACAATTTTGGGAAGAGGCTCAACAAAGTTGAAATTCATTGCTGAGATACAATGTATGCCAAATGCTCTTAATTTTGTGAGAAAGATTCTGTAGAGGCTTGGAGAGGAGCTGAAAAACGTAAATTGAATTTAAGGATTTATTTTGCCAAAACGTGAAGCGTACCGCCCTATAAGTAAAAAAGAAGGAACAAAATTCATTTAATTCAAAGGTTTCGAATGACTGTACTTAGTTTCAAAATTAGGGAGTTGTGATTATTTTTTTAAATTTAATTCCTAAGCATATCACCCTTGAAAGTCTGATGCTCAGAAGTAATTGATCAAAGAGATAAGGTAAAACGGATCTGTATTTGCAGGTTCCGTTTCATGATATTCGGCCATCACAGCGATCATAATCAACCTGTCTTGCATCACCTGCAACAAGTGTTTGCCTTCCTCTCTCTAACACAGGTAAAATCTCCCGCAACATGTGCTTGTAGTAAAATACTAGAATTTAGTTGGAGGATTATCCTTTGTAAGGGTTTGAACATGGAAACGATCTTCGCAGTAATGAACACTAATAGAGAAGCAATTTTTCAGGTTTTTTTTCTTTATGTTCGCTACTGCTTAAGTAGCATTTCTTTATCCGCAGTTCGCATATATGCTATATATGTGAACTGCATAGTGATTTTTCATATATTTAAAGTCATTAGTTTTATGTTTGTTGTTGTTGTTTTATTGTTTCTTTCTTTCTCGCGAGGATTTAAGGCCCAAAGGAGAACTGGAAAATCAACCAAATCGAGTCAAGAAACTCAAAACCAACTCAAATCGAGCCAAGATAATAACGTGCTAGACTCTGGTTGAAGAGTTCTGGATTGGCTCCATGGCGGTCCCGATTATTTTAATGAATTTGGACAGAATATTAATTTGACGCAATCCTTGTTCTTGTTTTGTTTTGTTTTATTTTTATTTTTACAGAGATCTGCCTTTGCCCCGTCGAAGTTCCTTCATGTAGCGAGACCTCCGTGGTTTGCACAGGGGACCCAGCAAGACTGCTCAGAATTTCTCAAGTTTCTTCTTGACAGACTTAGCGAGGAGGAAAAATCACAAAACAACAGCAACGACGAAGGGTCGCCAAGGACCTCGCTCGTAGAAGAGACCTTTACTGGAAAGCTGACGGTGTGCCTGTGCTGTAGGAGGTGTAATAACACTTCTTGCAGAGAGGAAGTGTTCACAGACCTACCACTGGCTTTTCCACAGGCTGGTGAGTTAGAGAGAAGGATGTTCTCCGAGCAGCTCGATGGACTGACGTCAGATGATAAACAACCGATCGAACATGACGAAAAACCTGTGAATTCAACTGTGAGCTCCGATAGAAGTCTGAAAGGTGGTGATATTACTCACAATGTGTCTGCCACCGGCTTAGCGCAAAAGTCAGTTGAAGATAGCGACGCTGTGGCTCCAAGTTCATCACACAGTTCGACCTCAGCAGAGAGCTCAATGCCTTTTTCAGCTGGTTCGAGTGTTTCGTCGAAATTTCGCGAGCCTGGCGTTCGAGCTGATGCTCCACACATATCACTAACAGAGATGTTGAAGTACTTTTTTGAACCTGAAATTCTTGAAGGATCTAATCAATATCATTGCGAGCATTGTCACAGTTTACAGGATGCTGAACGTACCGTTAGCATTTCCAAGGCCTCAGAATTCCTCGTGTTGACTCTGAAGAGGTTCGCTTACAATGTGAAGACCCAACAAAGGTCGAAGATACTACAAAGTGTGTCTTATCCTACAGTTTTAAGATTACCGCGAATTCACCTCAAAGGAGGTGATGATAAGATAGAAAGAGAGGCGAGAAACAGCGTCCCAGATGTTAATGACAGTAAGAACGATGAAATCGTCAGCCACTCTTGTTTCAAGTCTAAAAGGACAAAGCAAGAGCATGACAATGTCGTTGACAGCTCTAGCAGCGATAATTCGTTGTCTTTAAGCGAGGAAACATTCACAGCAGATATTGTTTACGCGCTGTGTTCGGTTATCGTTCACTCCGGGACGTCATCGGAGAGTGGACATTATTACTGCTATGCACGATCTAGCGTGCATTTGATCGGAGGAGAAAGCGACAAGAGTTCAAGTTCTAGAACCGATGATCAAGACACGTGGTATCTGTTTAATGACAGTCGCGTGTCTTACTCGGCGTTCAGTTCGTTTGCTGATGTATCGAAGCGTTTCCCTAAGGATACTCCGTATGTGTTGATCTATAAACGAGTCAGCTCTTTTCGTGCTGCAGTCATTCCCGTAGAAAACAGTGGTGATTCTGTGCAAGATAATTTGGTTGGCGGTGAGATCAGGCAGGAGCTGGCGGACATGGTCAATCGCGATAACCTCTTATACTTGCAGGTGAGTCAATCTAACTTGTTTGACTTCAAACTTTATTTGCGTGCAGATCAGGCGCAATTTTTAACGATTTGAAGGCAAGCAGGCGGGGCTATTCACACGTGCACGCATCTGCCCCTGCCCTCGTTTGTGAATCGCGCCTCTCGGTCCGGAGTACAGTGCGCGGTGTATTGAGGCTAGTTTTTTTACTAACGTTGGAGTCGAAGGCAAGATCGAGACACGCGAGGGGCAATTCACGTACATGCGCGTTGGCTCTTGCCCTGGTTCGTGAATTAAGGCTGGTTTTATTAACGTCAGCCTCGGAGTCGTTGTCAGAAGCGTAGAGCGATACGATCCGGTGCAAATCAAACCAGCTGATTTAGAAGCAGAGTACCGATACTGCTTGTGACTCTGCGGACGAAATTGAAGGAGTCAAAAGCCATCGGTTGGCCTGACAACTCGCATCGTGATTGGTTGGATCTTTTGCTTTTACTTGCGACTTCGACAATCTCGTCTTCACTGGATCATATGCGACTGGGTCTTAAGCGGAATTGGAATGAAATAGAACCGTACTGATTCTTCCGACTCCAATACCTTCAAACTTATATTGTTCTGTTTACAACTCCGGTTTCGATTTTCTCGAGGCCGGATATGCTCTTGCGTTATCTAACTTCTTCAACTTCGTGGCTAATGAAAACCAGTCTTAAGCCACCGTGTCTTCCAAACAATGCCCAGAAACAGTGCAAACAAATTTTCGAGTCAGCGATGGACAAACTCGTCATAAGGATTTTGTATCTTTTTTTTCTTTTTTACAGGAGCGAGAGCGTCAAGCCATGAACACTGCTAAGCGAAAAGCTTGGTCAAACTTCCATCAGCCCCCTGACGACGACGATGATGACCCTAGCAAGGGTCCCCCAGGGAGCTGTGGAGGCGGGCCAGGATTTACAACCCCTTTCAATCGTTTCGTCTTCTAGTTAAGCGGGATTGTGACATGTCTTATTGTGGTTGGTTGAACCACTTTTCAACGTTCTTTTTGGTGGTTACTTTCACAGTGTTGTAAAGGGGCTGTCTGTCTTGCTCAAAATGCAAACTGACCCTCATCCTGGACTGTTTCACAAAATTTGTCTGTGAAATTAAGGATATTTTCACAGGAATTCTAAGAGCGGAACGGAGTCTTTTTATTCTGTTCATATGGAAAATTTCAGCGAGCAGAGATTTCAACCCTAACAGGGTGCAACATCCCAAGTTTCATCTTTGTGAACGGGAAACGGTGTCTATTCGGGAAACTATAAGCCTGGGTGATAAGGTTTGTCTGGAGAGACCATTGACAAGGCATGCTTCAAATCTTGTAGTTGCTTTCTCCGTCGTTGTTGTTGATATTAATTTTGTTCAAACATTTTCAACGTCTTGAGCTCACTCGATTTACAATAACCAAAAGTGTGATTTTCTAAATTCTGGTGAAAAAGAAACTCAGAGTTCCTTTAATCGACGGAATTCAATGGTTCAACATCTTTCTCAGTCGCTTCGGAGAAATTTTTATTCAAGGGAGGTTGGGGGACATGCTACGTTAAATGACGAGCGATTTAGATCGTGTAAATATGATGTATAATAATCAAGAAGTAACTGTGGCTTCCAAATGTCACCTTGAAACTTTCATTTGATTTTGATTATTTTTTATACTGCTTTGATAAAGAGTACTACACGTTTGTGGTAAGATATTGGGTTTTGCATGTATATATATCATGGGACAGCATTTATCTTATTCCTATTCCTGCAACATTCACCCGACGACCTGATAAACACAAACACGTGTCCCTATTTTCAAAACATTTTGATTCTCTTTTCTCCTTTGGGATCGATAGTTTGTCATAAATCGAGAGAGGAAATACAAAAAACAACATATGGTCTTAACAACTTATATGAGAAATGCGTTAGCCTTTGAAGTCTTCAGCGAAACGCATCAAATTGCCGCTAAAATTAAGGATTGTTATTTCAATTTTTCTCCTATTTGCTAAAAATTTAGTAGAATAACCCAACGCACCAAATAAATGCGATTTTAATTATTTTTTTTTAAATGATAATTTTATTTTTTATTATTATTATAATTATTTGCTTAGCTACGAACCTTGAACTGGTCAAAAAGGAAAAAACATCAGCAAATTGGAAATTTGTGTCGGATTTTCATCTCCGCTTTAGACCTTCTTGCGTTCAAATTGAGATCACTTTTTAAAAAAGGAAATTAAAGACGAATTAAAACTAGACTTCAAGGCAAATTTTTTTAAACACGCTCAAGTTAAATATAGATACGAACCCACGAGGCTTGCCGAGGTGTTTAGTTCTCAGTGTCGCATCTTGTATGACATTTTCCTTGTTCTTGTTCCTTGTTCTTGTTTTAGTTTTGAAAATTTAAATTTCCAAAAAAAGACTCTTTGCTCTATAGAGGATGACGGAAGCTGTGAAGTTGAATTAATTTGCGCGAGAGCGATCAGCTGGCAGCATGGCGTGGGGGCTTTTCCCGCCATTTCTTATCTCAAACTAATTTTTACTGAAACTGAAAAACTTCCCCTCCACAAAGACGTTTGTTTGATCAAGCATTTTCCGTAGGCGGCCGCGTCATTCGCCAAACACGCAGCTCTCTAAGCCAACCAATTAGGTCGTAATCTATTGTTTTCCCGCGGCAAGTAAGCTTCTGTTGCGAGAACAACTGGTAACGTTTTTAACAAAGAAAAAAGTTTGACTTTACCGGTTATTAAATGTTCTTTACTCAACACTTTCTGTGTTCACTCTACTGTTTTAATGGTTCAGGTTTTAGTGTTTGAAAATATCTGCCCAAACGCGAGTATAAAGTGATTAGTCAACCCGGAGGCACCATCGCATGAGTTATCTTAGCCTCTGTCTTCAGTTTTCTAACACGTATCACATAAATTCGCCTCAGAAGCAATGCTTCCCAAATTTTTAAAAGATCCTCTTTTAAGAGACTGTTAAAGACACACATGTATGACATTATTTACCAAACAGTTTCGGGCAGGAAAGGGAATGGCTTTTTTAAGTTCACTTAGTAGAGTCATGAATTTTGTATATAAAAACCTTTTTATACTTCTAAAGTCGTGACAGACGCGATAAAATGGGGTCGTAATTCTGTGATTTAACTTCGTTTGACACTGAACACTGCTTATGTTATTTATCTAAAAATTTAACGCAGAATAATATTTGTTCGTTTTTAAAAAAAAAAATAGTATCACATGATTTTTGTCTAGTTAGCTCTCGTTAACTTTTGCACCATTTACACTCCTACGACAAATTTTAGTCACCGAGAACCCAACCATTGAAACCAAAGAACTATCTTTTTCACTAGAATGCAGAATCTTATGAAACTCTAAGCGTGGTTTGATTCAGATGCGCATATAACTTAGGATGAGAGCATAAAAGTTCATCAAAGCAATTCTCGTGTTAATGACCAGTAGAACACCTGTTTAACTTGACGATGTTAAGAATGGAAAAGATGAGTCGAGGGAAGCAAAAATTTTTATTGATAGTGCGCGCAGGAAGGTGCGAAAACATTTGATAGTTTCCTAGCGTTAACTGGAAAGGAAAGCTGCCAATTCAGTAACAGATATTTCTGCGCTATTACACATGGCCAGAGAGATTTAGATTCAACAAGATTGGGGGTGGAATAATTAAGGTAACAGTGAAAATGGATATTCAATATCTATGATAAAACATATACCCCCTTCCCCATTATGAAGTCGTACGTGGGCAGGTTCCTAAACAAACCTCTAGATAGCAGAATTTATTTATTTGTTTTTTCTTAGGGGTTACGAAAGTGTCCACGGAATAAATTACCACTGTTTCGTTCCCATGGGTATCTCAGTGAGGAATTTGTGTCTAGTAAGGCTTAAAACAGCACTCGAGGCATGGAACGTGAGAAAGAAAACATTTACTTTTTAAGTTCCTGTTTCGTCGTACGTCACCCTTCATGGTCCACAAGTTCATGTTACCCTTTTTACGTGCATCATACTTGATTGGACGGCGGTTGATTTAGCCTTGCAAATGAGCATTGAATCATTTAAACATTTTGAATAGTTATTAACACTCCACTGCCTTTCGCGATAAGTCAACTATCGGATCAAAAGCCTTCAGCCCTTCGAAGAAGGTTGACAATCGTTTCGGAGTGGAAGAAACACGACTGTACCATGGTGCATGTGGTACTGTTTGTGTTTTTAGTGAGTCTGAGCACAGGATATTGTGAGAGTGATAGAGATGGCGAAATATACACAAATACTTGGGCAGTTGAACTAGACTCACACGATGAAGAATTAGCGCATAGCATAGCGGAAAGTCTTGGATTTAAGAACGCAGGACCGATAGCGAACTTACCTGGATATTTCTCGTTTGTACACGAAAGATCGGAGAGCCGCCAGAGACGAAGTAGTGAGCATCATACACAACCGCTATTAAATCACCCGCGCGTGAAGTGGACTGAACAACAAACTCTACTATTTAGACACAAACGCGGTTTCAACACCTGGGATGAAGCGGTAATGCTTGTGCAACGCGCCGAGAGAAATCGCAGATATTTCAACGACCCGCAGTGGAAAAATCAATGGTATATGGGTCCGTTAGACGCTGCTGACACCAGAGGAAACCTAGGTGTTTTGTCTGCTTGGAGAATGGGGTACACAGGTAAAGGAATTGTGGTGAGTATTGTTGACGACGGGTTGGATCATACTCACCCCGACTTGAGTAAAAATTACGACGAGGCTGCGAGCTTAGACGTAAACAATAAAACTAGTGTTGGAGTCGATCATGATCCAACGCCAGATGATAGCAATCTTTCCAACGATCACGGAACAAAGTGCGCCGGGGAAGTCGCCGCCGAAGCGGATAATAATATTTGTGGTGTAGGAGTTGCATTCAACGCAAAAATTGGTGGTATACGAATGCTAGACGGAACCATTACGGACCAAATTGAGGCAGAAGCTTTGGGATACAACTGCGATTACATCGACATTTTTAGTGCATCTTGGGGGCCTAAAGATGACGGAAAAACATTTGGCAAACCCGAGAAACTTGGAAGCGGTGCTATGGAGAAGTGCATTCGAGAAGGAAGAGATGGTCAGTATACATTTACTCAATTTTCAAGTCGATGTAAAGATCAACAGTTATGAAACTGTTCGTTTATCTTTCCTGCGAGTGTTATAATTCTTTGCTGTGTTTTTTTAAAGCCAGGAAACAGATGGCGTTTAATTAGATACGCGGGTTTGCTCACGAGTTGAATTTAAGTGAGACCGGTTGAATAATTATTGCAGGAGCTTTGATGACAAATACTAATATGTGCATGGGTAAGTATTGTATAAAACGGTGACCTTGAGTTGTCACGACAATAGCGACATTAAGAAACAATGCATTTTACTTGCTAATCTAAATTTCCGTATAAACTGTTTTTATCTTGCGCTTTGTTCACGCAAAAATTCCAAGGAAACTGAAAGGCTTAATATTTCGAGAGCCGTAACGAGTTGGCAGCTAATAACAAACGAATTAGAGAAACTGCTGAATAAAAATTCATGTAAACAAGGGAGTCACCTTATTTTAATTTGGCAAAGATTTTAAGAAGATTAATGCGTAATATTTCAGACAAAGCCCTTATAAAATGACGGATAAGGAACTGCTTTATTTGAACAAGTTTTTTATTGGAGATGAACTTTGTTCGTTTGTCTCACGATAGAGAGACAACGCCAGATGAAGACTAGCAGTACTGCAGTCGAAACGTCGCGATCAACATCAAAAGTGACTCTATCGTAAGACAAACGAACAAAGATGACCTCAGTATCTTACACCACAATGAACAAAAAACATATTTTATTACAAGTTTTTTATTAGTTCAAAACCGACAAAGAACAGCTGGTGTAATTGGAGTTTCAATTTCAAAAATCTAAAAGACACGAATGCTGTTGCTTAAATTTCCTTTCTGTGATCGACTTTCTGTATTTTTCTCTGACGTTTTTTTTCGGCACCAAAAACAACCACGCTTTGTATTTTTCTACGAAAGGACGAGAGCTGTATTATTTCTTATCGTACTTTTGGAGTTTAATTAAGGTATTTGCAAATGAGGTTCGTGCACATGAAGTCCTTGTTGTTTTTTTCATTCACGGACTGACGAAGACTGTTTCTCTGTTTTTGCCAGGAGACAAAATAATCAAAGACGGCCAACCAGCGATGCAAAATGCTATCACCACAAAAATTTTTAAGGCTCCAGTTTGTTGATGCCTCAAGCGATTTCTCAATCAACCGTCTTGCAACGAAAGCATCTTTTATTATTTTCAAACCTTTTTGCAAAATGTACTAAAAGAAAGTGGTTTTGGAACTAAAGGAAAATTTAGTTTTCTGCTGGGCAGAAAGTTTCCTCGCCGTGACGAAAATATGAATTTTCCAGGTTTTTTTTTCACTTAATGACTAAGCATTCTTTCCAAAGATTTTTTATGCCCAGAACAACGCTAAAATTGACACCTTTTTCCAAATAACTTGAATTTCGCCAGCCGTAATTGTACTCGACGCACAAATTGCTGTTCAAGGTAGCAGAATAAAAGAGAAAATTACCCAGGCTACTATGGAACGGAAAATATTAACTGAAACCTAGAAAATGCTCCTATTCAACCTTTGATCTTTCCTTTTTTTTCTCACTCAGATTTAATTTCAGCTGGTGGATGTTTTAGTCTCAAATGCATTTATCCCACAGTGTAAAATGAACGTCGTCAGTTTATCATGCCAAATATAATTTCTATGTTTTTACCGATCACAAAAAGTCGATTTCTAAGAAAAAAACGCTCTTCTCAGTACAAAATAGATTCGACCATTTCTTTGGTCTTCCCGTCGGATTTCAGAACCCGCAAACGTTCTGGCAATTGTGTTGCGAACTGCGTGCGCAAACTTGGACAGGCATGGCATGGAATTAAATGTTGTTAAGTACAGAACATTTTTCTCTTTGCTTGAGCTTCCGAACTAGTTTGACGCGGGATAGGCTTGACGTTTGAGTTCATTTTAAGGACAAAATCAACCAAAAAAGACAATTTTTTTATATCCTGCTTGACTGTAAATTGAAGACAAACAAAACTTTAAATGCTATTGCCTTAAATTTGTATCAATTTGTTCTATGCATGAAAATTACCACAAAAGTGATGTTTGAAATTACCAGTAGCATGGTGGAAGAACCAACAGATATTAGTTTTCATAAAATAACTAAGCCGGATACTACGAACACCCTGATGGGTAAAAAACTTCTCGTTGGTTCACGGTTGCACCTTCGTAGCACTTTCGTAGCTGACGGTTTTCCTCGATGCTTCCCCCTCGGAAACCTGTTCTCATTTCGGAACAGATGATGTCCACGGACAAATACCCGTGCCTATTTTCGCGTCAAGTGAAGGTTATTATATATATTATAAAGCAAAATGGTTGCGGTTAGTCATCTTGGCAAATAACTTGCTATGATGTCTCACGATAAACTTTGCAGCCCGGATAGTTTCTGGAACGAGGAAATTTGATCATGTTACACCTATTCTTAAGCAGTTACAGTGGCTGCCAATTATGAAGCAACTTGCTTAAATGGACTTGCACCTCCATATCTTTGTCAGAAGTTTAAAACCAGATAGGAAATGCACAACTGCAACACTAGGAATAGGGACCGCCTACATTTACCACTCTGTAGGACGGCTGCAGGTCAGCGCGCATTTCCTTTCAGAGGCCAAAAGCTGTGGAATAGTCTCCCAGATGAGTTTAAAACAGCATTTTTAGGGGTATTTTTGGAAAACTAAGTTTTAGATATTTGACATTGTAAATTAAGCTGAAAAGCCTCTTTGAGGAGATTAAAAAAGTTATTATTATTATGCAATCCCTTCCGAAGAGGATCGAGACGTTTCGAATGCACTACATACTGTGAGTCTTCTTCACTCTTCAGGCGATAAGTTCTGCTAGATATGCGTCACCTCAGGAACTGTTATGCTAAGCTGTAATTGGATGATACAGGCGAACAGGCGATCAGGTCGACTAGATACGGTGGAAACTGAGGCAATGTGTAAATAAAGTGTCTTGTCCAAGGAAAAGAGATGATGAGCCGGACTAGATCTCCGATCGGGACCTTTCCATCCGGGGACCTGTTCATTGATCTCTTAGCCACGTTGTCTTTGAATATGCAAAAACCAAGAGATTATGAACAGTTTATAATCTCATAGCAGAAAAGAAAAAAAAAACACTTATAGAAATATGTTCTTTTTTTTTTCAAGGGAAGGGAGTTTTGTATATCTGGGCCACTGGCAATGGTGGAGCCAGTTACGATGATTGTAGCTGCGACGGTTATACGTCAAGTATCTACACTCTGTCTATCGCCTCTGTGAGCGCCAGTGGATGCAAAACGTTTTACGACGAGAGCTGCCCCTCAACCATGGGCGTGGTCTTCACCGGGGATGTTGGTTTGCAGTGCAGTAAGCGAGAGTCCTACAGCCATCTTGTAACTACTTCTCTGTTTCACAAGTGTGTGACATCGTTTTCTGGGACATCCTGTGCGGCTCCCTTAGCAGCTGGAATCTTTGCGCTGGTTTTGGAGGCAAATCCTGAGCTCACTTGGCGAGATATGCAACACTTGGTTGTTCAAACTGCGCGGAAAAATGAGCCTGACAGCCCTTCATGGAGCACGGTAAATCATCTTTCAGTTATCCTAAGGCAGTGTCTCAGTAAGGAAGACTCGAACAACACTGAATTGTAACAGTTTTCCCGTTTCCTTCCAGCGCAGATGAATAGATCCGTTCTTGTTATTTAATAGTCTCAGCAGTTAAACCTCAGAACCTGCTCACTTCCTGTCTTTTGTTGTCTTGCAGAATGGTGCTGGGCATAAATACAGTCGTTCCTATGGGTTTGGTGTATTAAATGCGGAAGATTTAATTAATGCAGGAAAGGAATGGGAACATGTCGGTACTCAGCTGAAATACACACTCCGCGGACTGTTGACACCTGACACAGCAACTTTACCATCCAAGGGAGAGGTGGAACTGAAGGTAAAAATGTTGTTTACTGAATTGATCGATCAATTCCAAGTCGCTTCTCATTTCCATGCCCTAACCTCATCATCTCTGATCACAAATAGCTCATCAATGACAACGAAGACATCGGAAAACTAGAACACGTTCAGTTCAACGTATCAATAGACCACCGTCGCCGGGGGGACCTGGTGATCGATCTCATCTCGCCCAGCGGCACCACTTCGCGACTGCTGGCCAAGAGGCCAGGAGACGACGGAACACGATTAGCATACTGGCCTTTCATGACTGTGGAATTCTGGGACGAGAACCCTCGAGGCGAGTGGACCGTGAAAATCCGAGATGAGAAGGTAATAAAATGGTATATTTTTGGATGAAAACATGTGTGACTAAGCCACAATATTGGTTTTAGATCTACATCTGATTGGTTGAAAGGGCGGCGCGATTTTGCTAAGAGGAGGAAAACTTAGTAAGTAAGTAACTTTATTTCGACTCAGGTTGATGAGGCTGATTAAGGCCCCAAGCAGCACATGCTAATATACCGTGAAAAGTATAAGAAAATAACCAAAAAAACAACAATTCAGGATATCGAAAATAATCAGTTAATAACTAATTTTCTAACTACTTTTATTAAATGAACAATTCTAACTCTTAAAATTATAACAGAGGGAGAAATCTCAGAAGACCGTGCATTACAAATGTAGCTCTCTTACAGCATTCTTAAATACCTTAAGAATTATCGTTGAGCGTGATTCATCTGGTAAGGAATTCCACACTTTGGAACCAATAAAAGGTGTAGATTTTAAGCCAAAGTTTGAAGTTTTCTTACGTGGGATTACGAGCTTGTTAGCGCCTCATAAATTTTCAGATTATTACGTACGACGAACAAGTTGCTTATATATTTCGGTAAAAAGACAATTCCAAAAAATTAACTCTAACTTTGAATAACCTTTGACATTTAGTTTCAAATACATATATACAAAGAATTACGTTACAAATTGTTATCTTTTGTTTTTTTTTCAGTCTGAAGACGACTACTCTCCAAGACGCCACGACAGATTTTTTGACGAAGGAGAATCCAGAGACGAACCGAGCATCGCAAATGATCTTTCCCATGGTCGCTTTAAGGAAGATTACATGAAGCTGTCAAAGCGATCGTATGAAAAACGTCACGAAAAGTTTCCTCAGCGGAGCGAAGACCAACCCAGTTTCCAGCGCGAGCTTACTCATGGACGGTTTAAGGAAGATTATATGAAGTCAGTAAAAGGACCAAGACAACCCATTAATGTAGCTTCTGACGAGTCGTCAATGTGTTCACATTCAAAGTCACTTCAAGGGCATATAGCTGGGTGCGTTAGAAATTGGTCTCTTGTTATGTATGGTACCGCCTGAATCTAATGATAGCGGGTCAAAGTAAAAATCTTCTAGGAGGGGATCGTCGTAGGGGATTCAGAGCCTGCAGAACCTGCAGAACGAGTTAAACTTTTTGTCGTTTTTCAGTCGAGTTAAAAGAACTCAAGGAAGCGCGTGGAAAACGCAAAAGCGAGTCGCGCTCACAAGTGACTCGCCCGGCCTTCCGCTCGCTTCAGTACGTCCGAAAAACGCACAAAAAGAGGGAAAATTGATGCTTGTTGTGCAGACTAGAGGGGTTGCCCCTTCATCTCTAAAGATATGATTAACATTTATCTACTGTAGCTGTAACTCTTCAAACTCCTGTCCAGGCTCTCTTCTTCGCGTTCCTTAGAGAGAGGCCTGGGCCGGGAGTCTTATACATTTCGTGCAGATTTGTTAGTATATCAAGATAATACCTTCTAGTCGATAAGTTTTTAGCTGTTCCCATCACCTTTTACTGAATTAGCTATCGATAGTGTATGGATAAGTTGTATGTTAATCACTTTCAGGCGGTAAAGGACTTAAAACGGAACGATAATCTCGAGGAGAGTTCCATTTGGTGTAAGGATCCTTTGTAATTTATCTTCTCGTCTTCTTGGGATGTTAAAATCAACGACCTATAATGTTTTTCAATAGTTCATGGATTGAAGTGAGAGCTTCATCGATAATAATATTCTAAGGTTTTACGTAAAACGATATTTTCTCTGCGTCGTATTTAAATAATTGTCAAATTATTGGATATGTTTGAGATTTACAATCATTACAGTAAGGCTAAATTATCCTTGGGAAAAAAAAAACATTCGCGTATCGCTTAGCCGGATGTAGGAGGCGTCCTGTTTTCCATTTGAGTTATTTTTTTCACAGCGAAACTTAAGAAGGATTACTTTTATTTATGAATGCAAAGAAAAATTTAGCCTTCTCCAGGTATTAGACTTTCAATTTGGAACGAATAATTTTCATAATCGAAAAACGAGCTTTTCACGAAGGGTAAGGGGCTGGGTAGTAAGGGGGGTGAAGAGATTGATGTACCGGCTACTACAGGGAATGGGGAGGAGGAGAATGGGGAGGAGGGGAATGGGGAGGAGGGGAATGGGGAGGAGGGGAATGGGGAGGAGGGGAATGGGGAGGAGGGGAATGGGGAGGAGGGGAATTCTTATTTATTTGTGTGAATTGTTATACGTTGACGAAAGTCAATTGAAATTCAATTTTGTTTTTCGAAGGAACCTTTTCGCAATTAAAGGAGTAAATATTTATAGCTCTACCGCGCAAAGTTTTTAAGATAAAATCTTTTAAGTTAGAGTCTTCAGTGACTTAGTATTCGACTGATAATCTGAACTAAAACTGGTGATCCAAGGGACCCGGATTTTATTATTTTTTCATTAAGCCTGCTTCCATGAATTTCAATTTGCGTCTTTCATATTTTCAATATCAAAGAAACCTCGAATGCTATACTGTCAAATAAACAATCGTAGGACGAACCAAAAATTATATTTTCTTCTTTGAAGCTACACGTGGTAAACGGCAACTTTGTATTATATATATTTATAATTTTCTGTAAGTTAAAATGGGTATTATCAATTAGGTAAAATAAAACATCGTATTAATAATAGTTTAAAACTTCTGATTTTTTAAAGCATTCTCTGAGTCCTTGATTGATTGAAAGTAATGATTTTTTAATTGTGTTGCTCGTACGTTTTTTGTCTTCAACGGCATCGTTCTCGAGACTTTTGAAATTTATTTAAATCAAGATATGTCAACGAGATTTCATTCGCGTCAAGTCCCAAATTTTGCATTGTGGAATACGTAAAATTTCCAGAAAGTTTAATGACCTTTCCCGTATTTGTTTTTGGACAAAATCTTTTCTTCGAAGCTTATAATTTCTTCAAGCCTTGCTCGAGGAAAACTCTTTTCATGAAGCTGAACCTTCTGCCGGTCACCTGGACGTACGGGCTTTATTTGGGTTCTGTGATCTGAATATCATTCATACACTGACAGATCCAGATGGAGGGTTAAGGGGTCTCTTTAAAATTTTATGAAACGCTTTTTAATTCTCAGTATAAAGAGAATCGTTTAAACTTCGAATATAGCGCGCATATTGATCTATTTTGCCCTTCAAGAAGCCGAATAGCAATCATTTTGAAGTTAATTCAGGGAAGAAACCGTTAGTTCGTCAATTAGTAGAGTTAGTACTTCGGCTATTGAAGCCAAATTTCTCTGAACTTCGTCTACCAGAAAAAGAGGCCTACCCGAAGAGAAAGATTCACGGTTTTGTTTTGCTTCAGTGCTCAGCTGTGGTTGATTGATAGATAGTTTGAAGTGATTGATTTCCTGGCTAAATGTGTCACAATGATTTGTGTGCGCTGAGAAAGGAAACTAAATTGTCCACGGTAAATACTGTTGCTTTTCGACCTTCTCCATCTCAGCAAAAATACCACGGATGCACACATGACCACAGTGGCAAACGTGACAAGGCAGACATGTCGCAAAATCACAGGATGTACGTAGAATTCAGTGGCCTTTACGTTTCGAATGCCTCTATTTGCCAATTCTACTCCATGTTAAAATTTTTCGATTATTTCGAGTTTCTCACTCAAAATTTATCTAAATTTTTTTTTTACCTAATTTTCGGAAATGTACACGACACGACAGCGACGTGGGGCTTGTAGATAACAGAGCATTTCCTTACACGTCAATGGTTTTCTAAAGCTCAGTGATCTCAGTCTTCCATTTCAATTTTCTGGATTTATCCGTTGAAGCCTCGAGGAACTCCACTCGTGTACTTGAAAGTCAAGAAACGGTTTAGAACAAAAATATGCCTTAATTCAAGGCTAGCTTTATATATTACAAGTTTGATCTAAATGGAGAGGGGATGTTGGTGAGGCAGGATAGTCCAAAGATATAACAATATCATTTTTCTTCTCGTAAGATATATTTTTTCAATTAGTTTCTGTTGTTGTCAGCTATATATTCCATTATAAACCCCTCTTGAAAAAAGCTTAAAATAGTGACAATTTGGTTTTCTTATCACTAAACATTCTGTGGCTGAATGAGGAGAAAAGTAAGTCGGTTCACCGTGGCAAAATATTGGTAGATTTAGCTTCTCGGAAGAGACGAGTCACCCAACTTTGGAAACTGCTTTACTTTGCTGTAGGCTCAGGTTTGTTTTCATCTTTTTAACTACGTGGCTTACTCCTGTTCAGTTTGAGACTTTTATCAGATTCGGCGACAACTCTAGCATCAAGAAAAATGTATTATCATAAATCATGCCGTTGAAGCGGGCACCAGCTGACTCCATTATTTCGGCTTACACGCATCATCTAGCATCGTAAAAAAACTTGATTTACACTCGTAAAGAGACTAAAGTTCCTTCATTAATCTGAAACTGGTTTTTAACAGTTTGAACGCAGTCCTCAATTCGCCCTTTTTCCACTAACGTGCGACGATTTTCGAAATCAATTTGAAAATTAATATAGTGTGGGATGACATTACCGCTTTGTTTCGTACCTCCTCTGTTTTACATGAAAAAGAAGACCATTGATGTTTTTTAAATTAACCTGACTTCCTACTCACGATAGCTTCAATTCATGTCTCGTATAAACATGAAAGTTCCTTCCTAATTATTGAATACGCGACTTTTTTTATCAGTTCGGTTGAAAAGGAGCACCTTTTCTCGAAGTTTTTGTTTTCCGTTTCTATTTATCGCCATCTTCACTCGCGTCGCGCAAAGATCAGCTCTTATCATTTTCGCTTTCCTCGGGCATTGACTGTGAGTGACAAACACAAACAACACACAGCTGCCACTAACACTTCACAAATTGTGCTTTTTAGATTTCTTTTTTACTGAAATTGGAAAATTTTGTCAGTATTCTTACTCGAATAGTAAAATTACACCTTTTCCCTTCTTAAACTCAGGTAAGAGAAAATTAACAAATTTAAATTCACGAAGAAGATTGCTTCTATGTCAGCATATTCGCTTTGATGATGATTTCGCAATTTTCTTAACAGCTGGGACCAAAGAAATATATTTTCAAATTTGAAGGAGAATGTAACAGGATATATTTTTTCTCCTCTTGAATAAAATTGACAGTGCTTGGCGCTTTTCTGGATCAACTTATCTAACTTTTGTAACGAGAGTAAAAACTCTCGCCGACCAATGCACTATTTGTTTTTTTCTCAAACTTTAAATACACGATTGCAGATTTATTTATTCAAGTGCTGTCTTCCCGTCTGCCTTGAAATAAAACTTTCTCGCTGATTAGCAATCCTGTGTCTCTTTATTTGCATTCTGTCGATTAATCTTCCGCGCTCTTAATATTTTTCTCGCCCTGCCAACCAATGAAATGTAGCGTAGCTTCCAACAATTTAAGAGGGGAGGGGATGTTGAAATACATCAATTTTAATATCGCACAAATTACCCATAAGTGCGACAAATTTAGAAATTTCAACGACTTTTCTCAGCAAAAATGCAAACATTAAGCTCAATTGCGAGAAAAGCTTTTAGACGTTGACGAATTATTGTATATATGTTGCAAAGGAAAAAGGCCACGGCTGTCCTACCCGGGATTATTTCCTGTTTCGGCTTTGCGTAAGGGTGTTGAGAAAATTGACAGCCAGTCTGTATGATACCTTTCGGGCGCAGTGAGTATATTTAACCGAAATTTCAACTGTGGTTACTACGATTGTTAGGAACGGAGAACTTTCTCCGTGGCGGAATCCTTTCCAATGATTCTTAGAAAACTTCTTTTCACGTCGCTACTATTTGTAGCAGTTTTGATTCTACCTGTCTTTCAGCATGAAATCGAAGAATTTCAAGATTATGAGCATCTCGGTGACCTCCGAGAAGACGATAGGCCTCTGTTCACAAATATCTGGGCGGTAGAATTAGACGAAGACGACTCCAACCTTGCTGACGAAATAGCGAGAAATTTTAATTTGAAACACAATGGTAGAATTGGTAGCTTGCCCCGTATTTTCAAGTTCATGCACGAAGGAACAAGCGCTCGTTTGAAGCGACGAGCGACAGAGAGAACTCGTCAACTCAACGATCATCCAAGGATCGTATGGGCCGAACAACAGCGCGTTCTAGAACGAAACAAGCGCGACTTCTTGCCAGAGAGTTACCTAAGAGAACGAGAATTAGAAAGGAAATACCGAGAACAGCGATACAAGAGAATATTTAATGATCCTGGATGGGAAAGGCAATGGTATTTGGTGAACTGGGGTCAAAATGATGAACATTTAGTCGGAGCTGATATAGGGGTACTCGATGTTTGGCGTCGCGGTATAACAGGTAAAGGGGTTGTTGTCAGCATTCTTGACGATGGTTTAGATCACACACATCCCGATTTGAAAAGAAACTATGATCCACACGCAAGTAAAGACCTAAATGACGATGATGACGATCCATTTCCGAACGACAGCGATCCGTATAACGCGCACGGTACGAAATGCGCTGGGGAAGTAGGCGCTCAAGAAGATAACAACGAATGCGGAGTCGGAGTAGCTTTTAACGTAAATCTTGGCGGAATTCGAATGCTCGACGGTACGGCAACAGATTTATTGGAAGCAAGCGCTTTAGGCTTTCGACGTGATTACATCGATATTTACAGTAATTGTTGGGGGCCGAAAGACGACGGAAAAACTTTTGGCAGGCCAGGACCGTTGGGAAGGCAAGCGTTCGAAGATGGAGCTAAGTACGGTCGCGGAGGTAAGCTAAACTAATTTGGCAACAGCCATGTAAACTTAATTTTCCTACATAAAGATGATTCATTAGTTCTTGTCAACGTCCATCGGGAGAAATATTTTACTTAAAAGATTTTACGAGGCAAATCAAGTTAATGTTTTTCATGTAAAATAAATCAACTTTAGATCGCTTGTGTCAGATTTAGTATTCAGAAAGTTGAATGCATGATCGTCATTAATTATTTAAACCTGTGAGCCAGGTTTTGTTTTGATTATCACAGAAACTAGATTTATTATATCGGAGTGGTTTTTTTCGATTGAATATTTTGTGCTGTATTTTCTGAAATAATTTTCATATGGCTCTCTTTTTAACTTAAAATTTAAGGATTTATATTTTTCTTTCTACTAATATTCCGTATTTTATATTCCGGAGGTTCACTAAGTATGCGTGGGTGTCTAAAAGTTCTCTTGACGTATGTTATTTCGTAGATCTCCCACTCGCATTAAAATCGTTCACAGCTTTTCTATTGTACACAAAAGGAAATAAGGAAGGAAACCTTCGTTTGTCATTACAAATTAAATTAAGAACGACATTGTTTTGATATTGCCAATGCTCTTCGCTGAAAATGAGAGTGAAAATTAAGGGGTTATCATTAAGAATCATTATTGCTGTATTATCGAACCTGTATCGAGGCTCAATATTCGAAGTCGGAAGTTCTTTAACCTTTTTTTTTCGTTAAAGAGTTTTCTACTTTAAAGGTTAGCTGATGCTTTTAAAACCACAGCAAAATGTTTTTACCATAGATGTTTTCTAAGAATTATTTTCCTTACACAACAGCTGCAGGCCCTTGTACTGTTAACATAAATACACTGATAGAAAAAGAATTGAAAATCACAGGGCTCATTGCTGGCAGAAATGCCTTAGTTCTTAGTTACTGTTTTGTAATGGGTAAAACAACACAGCTCTAAATAAAGCGCTCATTGTCTTAGAGTGAATGAAATTCAGCCAACGCTTTTCTTAACTTTTGACCGCTGAGCTTAAATGAAGCCATCACAAATAAGTAGTGATAATTAAGTTTACTGATCTGACAGCATGTCAGCTTGAAACACAAAATGGAAAACTTCCCTTTCCACACAGCTGTGTCTATCTATTTAATGCTTATGGGAAAACTACATTTTGTTTTTTCTTCAAGCCTCCTTTTTTATTTTGATACTTTCCTTACTGTTTCAACCAGCAGAAGATAATATAAATTAAGAGTGACTAATCAATTGGAAATTGAGGACTGTCCAGAGTGAGAAGGTTGTAAGTGAGACTGTCTTCAGGTTTTAACCCTCTAAGCCCTAAGGTTGATAAGCATCTAATTTCTCTTCGCAATATCACTACTGAGTCAGAAGTTAGGGTCATGAGAATAAAGGAAATGATCACCAACTAAAGGGGCTCTTGATTGTTGAACAAATTGTCCTTGTCCATGCCTTAGGAAATGTATAGAGAACAGTATGGAGAATATGCATACTGATGTTAGGGTGTAAATGGTTTTTGTAGTCGGCTGCCACTATAAAGCAAGTGTCTGATAGTGCAAACACTTCCCTGTTTTTACTATGAAGAAATCCTCAAATACCCCATCACTACAATAAGAATACCTGAAAATGTTTATTATTTCTCTCCAGGGAAAGGAAGTATATTTGTTTGGGCTACTGGTAATGGAGGTCTTGCCGATGATGATTGTAATGCAGATGGCTACACATCTAGTATCTATACGATATCTATTGGAGCCGTCAGTCGATATGGCCTCTCCACTTACTATGATGAACAGTGTTCATCTACAATGGCAGTAACCTACACAGGAGACACTCACCGGGGTGGCTCCAGTGAAGCTGACTTAGTCACCACTGATCTTAAGCACAAGTGCACCACAAGGTTCCGTGGCACTTCATCAGCTGCTCCACTGGCTTCAGGTATCTTTGCTTTGGTTCTGGAAGCAAACCAAAATCTGACCTGGCGTGATCTTCAACACATTGTTGTGAAAACGGCATTGAAGACCAGTCCAAAAGATGAAGGATGGGTTGAGAATGCAGCAGGTTTGTTGGTGAATCACAAGTTTGGATTTGGTCGTCTTAATGCTGCCAAAATGGTGAGTGAAGCAGTGAATTGGATGCCAGTTGGGGAACAGCAGAATTGTTCAGTAATTGGCCCTATAAAGGATCCGTATATTCCAATTCGAGGTACTCTGGAGTTGAGCCTCAACACAGATGCATGTGACATCCAGAAACTAGAGCACGTACAGGTCACTGTCAGCTTCAGATTATCCAAGGCATTCCGTGGTGATATCAGCATTGATCTCACCTCCCCAGGAAAAATGACAAGTCAGTTACTTTCTGTTCGCCGCAATGACAAGGACACATTTGGACTGAATGACTGGGCTTTCATGACTGTGCACTTCTGGGATGAGTCCCCTAAAGGAACATGGATCCTAAGATTCCACCATGACAAGAAGTCTTCAAGTGCACCATCAAAACCAGATGTTGAGGAAAGGGAGAAGGTTCTTATACAACATGACCTGTTGAAAGCACGCCGGGATGAGATCATGGATGACTACGACAGCTATCATGATGAGATACATCATGGCCGGTTTGGAAAAGATTACATGCGTGATCAAGTGTTCCCAGTCGCTGAAGACGAGGGTGATCTAGATAGTTTATTGCAACAGGAGGATGAAGGCTCTGATTCAGCCAAAGGATATGCAGGCACAGTGTCAAAATGGGTGTTAACACTCTATGGAACCAGTGATTAATGTTACACAGAGAAATTTTTTTCCTACTCAAAAAAGTTTATTTTATCAAGTGACTGAGTATATTGCAACTATTACTAATAGTCTTTCTTGGTTCAAATTAGGTGTGTTTGGGGTGTGGTTAATTTATTTCTTGCAAGGTATTAGTTTGTGTAAAGTTGGGGATTGTTTTTAATTAGTGGTTTATAGAGACTCTAATTTTTTGGAAAAACAAAGTTCATTTTATTATTTATATAAAAAAAAAATTTATTTTGATACCATATAATGACTTAAATGGTTGATTTGAATTTTTCAGTTGGTTTGCCTCCAGCTTAATTGTGGCAGAGCACATCTCATGAATTTGTACAACAAATATGTTGGAGTCAATATATTATAAAAACATTTAATTATGTTAATTAAAATTGTCAGAGATTCCTCTGCAATTATTTGTTTGTTCCAGGGTCTGTGATCCTGGAGAAAAAATTGAGAAGAGAAATACTCACTCTGCAGTTTGTAAATAAATTTGCTGTACTAAGGAATATAATTTAACACATAATTACTAACTTATAAGTAAATGCTTATGTTATTCTCATTAACATATTAACTAACTGCCTTGTAAATAAACCTCTTTAAGTATGTTATCAGGTTATAAGGTAATTAGTGGTAATTATTTTTATTTCTGTTGTTATTATTTGCAATTTAGTGTAGTCCTGATGCAGGCTTTTTCTGAAATGCTGTGGCCCAATTGGTGAAGCTGTGATCCCACTCCAGCCTGCTTTGCCACCTTGCTGGTCTCTAGCCACTTTACCAGTAGTGCTGCAGCATAAATGCAAGCTTACTTGCTTGCTTAATATAGTAAACTTCAAAGTGCAGATATTTTTATGAGCTAATTCTAATAATCACATCACAGAAACATAATCATTCTAAACAACACTAACAAGGAAAATAATCAGTTTACAACATAACAATGAAAGTGTACTCCTTTAACAATGCTAAGTATATGATTCAAACAAGGAAAAACAAATTTATGTTTAAAATTCATTGTAGTGGCATCCTATTTTGAGGAGGAATGAAAGACTGAGGTTTAGTTCTGCATCCTCTGCTAAATGGTGCATTAAATTGACAGAAGACCGGATATGGCTATGAATGTTTTCCCAGACGCTTGAGTGGGTAACAAAATAACACATTTCTAATTTAATTTGGCATTCAAATTGTCACAATCTAAGGCATGCTTGAAAAAAGCCCTAAGTGACCTCTCACACACCTCTAGATTCTCCTTTCAACCTGTCCTACATTCGCTTGTGAAACACAGGGAGAAGTTCATGTTTCATCAAGGGTTACTCAGGGCTTTATTCCAGATGCCCTTATGTTTATCGTAATGGGTGGTAAAGGGCTAAAATAGAAAATAAAAGTAGTAAATAATAGCATTCCAGCACCAGATGAAACTTTTATTTTGTGACATTCTTCAATATGCTACTATGTTGAATCCTTCTAAAGGTATTAACATGATGTAATGTACCCAGTTATGAAATAGTAGCAATAAAATGAAATCACATCACTGCATTCCTGTGCTGCAGTTTCATATTAGAGTAAACCTGGTAGGATAGTGATTCTATGGTTTCTTTGAAGTACAGTCAAACAGTCTCTGCAAAAACTAGTCTGTAATGTTGTGGGGTAAAGAGCAGTGACAATACATTTACTTTAACATCACAACACCCACTGTGCCACAATGGCCAGGCTACTAAAGTGTGTCCTAAATACACCATACTCTCCATACAGTTCTCTTTACATTTCCTAAGGTGTTGAGAATGAGAATTTGTGTAACAATCAAGGGCCTTCTTTAGTTGGTGATCATTTCCTTCTTTCACTAGACCTTAACCCTTTAACTCCCCATATCTCATTAGTAATTCTCCTCACTGTCTGCCATACAGTTCTTGTGATGTTTGTTTGGAGAATTTGGTATTGGATCAACTTATATTCCCTTAATTTATATTTTTCTTTATCCTCATCACTTGTCTGCTTGATATTGTATTGATATCATGAGGAGAAATTCGGTCTTGGTCACTTGTGGGAGTTAAAGGATTGAGGTTTCAATCAGGGATGATATTGTAAGGAGAAAGTAGATGTGAGTCACTCTTTGGGGTTAAAAGGGTTTGAATGGCCTCCTGACATCAGCTGAGTTTCATGCAATGTGGAACTGTTTATCTCTTTGATATCATTAATCTTAAATTCCCTTGGTTACCTTTGAGACATTTCAGTTACTGTAACCAAAAAAGATAATAAACTTTCAGAATCCCTGGGCATTTTTTGTCCAGGACTTTCTCTATTGACATCTCTGTAACCTGAACTCATGTAACCTACACCAGATGTAAGAAAAGTTTTCAAAACCAAACTAATTTTTTTCCTTGATTGAAGAAAACTACACAAAGTTTAACTTAAAGACAATAAGTTTTATTACCATTAATTGCGACAATTCCCCATTATTATTTCCATTTTTGAGAGAAATAAAAGTTCTAAATCAACTTTGAAAGAAGTGAAAATTCTAAATTAACTTTGAAAGAAGTGCTAAATCACCTCTTACATTTATAAATATGAGCTGTCAAATATGTACTAGAATTTTGCCTAATTTGACAACATTTTGTTCTTCGCAGAAGAAAGAAGCTCATGATTTTGATTACAACTTTCACATGGCAAACGAGACAATTAAAATATTTCAGCTAACATAAACTAAAAAAGTTAAAACAACTGCAATTTATATTTGTAAGAATGATCGTTGTAGTTGTTTTTGGATTGTAACTTATTAAGCAACTTTTTTTAATTAATTTTGGCATACTACACATGAATTTCCATATCAATTATCAAATAGTATAATATTGTAGATCAGAATACCTAAACTTGTTAGTGAAGTGTTACTACAGAATGTTGTTTACTAATCTATCAAAATTGTTGCACTTTTTGGAATAATTCCTGAAATAAGTTACATGCCATTCTTACTAAGTTTCACATTAGCTAAAAATTAACTATATGTGAGATTAATACTTCTTTAAATATCAACATTTATCTTAAACATAAATAAAAAAGCTGTACTTTCAGTGTCTTAAGACATTTATAACAAACACAAAAACAATTTGTTGGCTAGCAATCAGGTCTTGAAGGTACTCAGGCAGGCTGTTACCTCAAAAGAGTGAGTGAAAAAAAAACTAACTAAAAATTAAAACAAACTATTTCAAAAAAGTGATTTTGGTAAAGCATGAAGAGGTATGAATTCTGCAAGTTGTTCTTCATTCTTGATAAAAACAATCTTGTTTGATGTCACCTCATGTAACCTAATGAAGTGAATATAGAAGCAAATATCAGTAATGAATAATTATATTCAAAACAGACACCTGTCCAGGTTTTTTTCAATCTTGGATCTTCCGGGGCAATCCCCTCCTCAAGTGTTACAGTTGGTTCTAAATTTTAATGAAACTAACCACAGTCTGATAAGTGCCCAACATCCAGTGAAAATAAATGGTGAATTTACAATCAAGCACTTTCCAAGTCTTTCAGGATATCGTCTGGACAGAAGCCAAATGAGCTGCTTTACAAATCCGTAATCCATGTTGCTAAATGTGAAACCCTATGGATCAAACAAAGCAGCATTCACTTTACTTAAAATGTGATAAGGGCTAATGACTATGGTAAAGCAGACATGGTTTGATGCTACTCATGCTTTACAGATTTAATGAATGTAACCAAAGAAGTTACAATTTCAACACTCCTGTCCTGGGTCTAGGAGTGTTGAAATGTTGGGTCTATGAATTGTAGCTTCTTCGGTTACATTCATTAAATCTGTAAACCAGAGTAGCATCAAAACATGTCTGATCCTACTTCCTGAATTTTAAAGTCAAACAGAGTCAGTGATATTAAATAAAACTAATAATTCAGTTTAATTTAAAAAGTAGCTGGCTTATTAGTAACCTACATGTAAGTAACCAATTAATTCTGTCTACTGCTGGTTTTAAATGATAACATGATCAACTTACCTTTAAATCAAAGGTGATGCAAAGGTTGTCAATCACATCTTCGTCACATCTTCTTGTTGCCTCCTCCTTTAGACATAAGGAAACAATTCAGTCAGGTGATCTGTATTGAATGCTTTTTACTTGTTCAGTCACATATCTCAACCCCTGGACCCCAAAGAGTGACTAACATCTAACTTCTCTTTACAATATCAACCCTGAATCAAACATCAAGGTCATGAGAATAAGGAGAATGATCACCAATTAAAGAGGCTCTTGGTTGTTAAACAAATTCTCTTTGTCAACATCTAGGGAAATGTATGGAGAATATACATACTGATGTTGAGGTGTAAAGAGTTAAAATTTTATTGATTACTCTGCTTATGGTGAACAACCACAACCATTGTCATGAGCAAGTTGTGGCCAGTTGCCTGATAACTAGGATCACATACCAAAATGTAAATAATGAACTTGGTGATGACATTTAAATCTCTGGTTCTTGCATCATGATTCCTTACTGTCACAAGAATGATAGGCCTACAGATATCAAAATATGTTGGCTGAATTCAATGATCAAACAATGGTTATGTAAAATAAACACCTTACTCTAAAACTTAACGTTGATCACAGCATAGCTATTTGCAGAAAGGTAAAAAAACTGATCTAATGTTAAAGTGGGTTATAACTGACTCTTGGTGAGTCTATAGAGGGGGAGGGTTGAGGGGGTTCTTTGGCATCCACCCCTTGTCCCTGGCATCCACCCCTCCCCCTTTATCATACAATAAAGGGGGAGGGGTGGATGCCAGGGACAAGGAAGAGGGGAAATGGTGGAAGGTTGTTTGAGGGGATGATGTCTGTTTCAGGAAATAAACATAACTAGCACAAAAAAGAAGCAGTAAAACTAACCTTAAATAAATATACAACTCCTGACAAATAAAAGTATTGGAGCTCACCTTCCTCTGTGATCTGGAAATTCTAACACTTCAGCCTTATCCAAAGCAATTTGTTCTTCAATATCATCATCCCCTCTGCTCAAACAGTTGACTCCATATTCTTCTCTCCAGTTTATGTACTTAATCAAGGCAGTGTATGCTTCATCTACATCGTCAAATCCCCGCAGAAAACGTCTCAGGCAAGAATCTGTCTGAGCCTGAAATAGAAATCACATAAAAAGGTGTTCATTGAATGACAAGGTTTTCACTAGAAAACATAATAGAAACATGATCTGAACTGAGAAGGGGAATTAATTAAATTACCACCCTTCTAGAGCACTTCAGAAACAGTCCCCCAAAGACCTGAAAAATTTGAACATTTAAAAATTTTGAGAAGTGATTTCTAGAATTTTGCAACATATTTGAGAACCTTCCTTTAACCTTAAAATGGACATTTGGATCAGTTCATAGAAAATCAAATTCCAATTTGCCAAGCACCAGCTTCAAATAACAACCAAGGGTAAGAGGGCTGTCCTGACAGGGGATGCAGGCCACTAAATTAATTTATCTATTATTCATTTATTTATTAATTGCTTAATAGTCATCTTCATGTTAACTAGAAGCATAAATTATGCCATATATAAATTCCAACCTATTTTTAGAAATGATGTACTTCTAGAAAGCACTCCAGCAAAAAGGAAAATTTTGTGTCAATCTCAGAATGCAAGTATAGTTGAGTAATAATAATTATTATGACTTTTCCAACAGTTTCTACACGCAGTCAGAATCAGAAAAAACTTTGTTGCTGTTTCATTATTTTTTCCATTTTATGTTAGGAAAATAATTAACAATATTTTCTCTGCAATTTTGACTTTAAAAAATGAAAGAAGGAAAGACGTTTTTAAAGTAACACCAAACAACACAACAAATTACTTAAGACGTATCCACAACTTGCGTATGTTTGCTTTAGTACATATTCTAAACAATTTTTTATTTACCTGTAAAAACCATTCTCTAATTTTCAAAATACAGAGAAATTGGATTTTCATCGCTAAATACAAACCTTTCTTAGTTTGACAGATGCAAATTACTTTAATTACAGAAGGAAAGTATACGTAGCCTCCTCAAAAGAAGAGGCGCCACAGAATTTCGCACCAAACATTAAGCTGATCGAAAAAAAATACATACCTTAAGTGGTTCTGCATCAAAGAGTGGCTGAAATTAAAAAAAAATAAGTTGCAAAATATATTAAACTAAATAACACTTCATTTGAAATCTCGATTTCGTTTCTAGGCT